AAAAAAAAAAAAAAAAAAAATTTCATTTGTCGCCGGGCAGTGGTGGCACACACCTTTAATCCCAGCACTCGGGAGGCAGAGCCAGGTGGATCTCTGTGAGTTCAAGGCCAGCCTGGTCTACAGAGCGAGTTCCAGGACAGGCACCAAAACTACACAGAGAAACCCTGTCTCGAAACCCCCCCCCAAAAAAAATTTGTCATCTTGACAATCATCTAATATTCATTCACTCATAACTGACAAGACTGAGCAACCATGTGTGAAGCAAGCCCTGTTTTAGGTAGTGGAAAATGAATAATTAAGACAGATTCCCAGTGCTGAGGAACTCTGAGCTGGGGATGTGTAGGCTCTCAGCCCTGTACAGTGGAAGAGACTTCAGGGGAGCTGGCAAGAGCAGCTTGGCAGAGAGGTGACAGTCACCCAGGCAAGAGGTGTGAGAAGAGTTCTGCATGGAGGGCGGGTTCACCACTGACACAGGGACGTACAGGGGAGAGACATCCAAGAAGCCCAGGTTTCAAACACAGCAACTGGGTAAGTGCAGGTCTTTGCATGAGCTTGGGGTGAGGTAGAGGAGTGCATTTTGGGGAAAGTGCAGCGTGGCAAACGGTATTCTCTTTTCATGTGTTTGTATTGTTTCCTGGCACTCAGAGTTTGTGACAGAGTTCACGTCCCTGGGTGGTTCCCTCCCTCACACTGCCCTTGTCTACCACTGGACACGAAGGCTGAACTAGCTCCATGAGGTGACTGGTCTGTGGGTGGGGCCAGGATGCCCATGTGTGTAGTAAGCAGAGGAATTTTATATGTCTAGAATTAGACAACCCTCCCAAGTGTGGGCAAAACCTTCAGTCCAGATTAGCCTGGTTTTCAGGGGTGGGGGCATAGGATTTCAACATAATGCTTTCTAGTTGGTAAGGTTGTGTGATGGATGCTCAAAGTTTGAAGGTTTTTACTTTCTTATAGAGAGTCAGTTTTGTACATTCTTTTCTAGAAAACTGTTCCAGCTGGGTTTTCAAATGTACTGGCATTAAATTATCAGACTTTCTTTTTAAAGTTGGGCTTTACAATTTCTTTTATCTCATTGATTTAGCCTGTGCACATGTGTGTACAAGGACCCTGGCAGGTGGCACAGTGTTCTGTGTGCATGGAGGTCAGAGGACAACTTGCAAAAGTCAGTTCTCTCCTTCCGCCATGTGGGTCCTGTGCATCAACTCCGGTCGTCAGGCTCGGCAGCAGGCGCCTGTACCCACTGAGCCATCCTGCCTGCCAAGTTATCAGATTTTTAAAGTATCTGCCGTGTCTCTACATCCCTTCTCTTTTTATTGTCACATGAAGGAAGTTACTTTAACTACTTTAAGAGTCCCGCTCTGAGCTTTGTGGTTGCTTTCCTGGTGCCTACGATTGAATCTGTTTTCTATTTCATTAATTTCTGCTTTTAGTTTTACTGGTTCCTTCTCCTGTTTTTGGTTTCATTTATCCTGGTGCTCTTCCTCCACCATTGCAGCTCATTACTTTCTTCTCTTTCCCTGCTCCCTCCTCTCCCCCTCCTCTCCCTCTCCTTTCTAGATGTCAGGCATCAAACCCGGGGCTTGTGCACACTAGGGATGACCTCTACTCCTGAGGTACAGCGCCAGTCCTTCATTAGCTTATTATTAGAGTATCTGTATGATGTGTTCTGGGGTGTGTGTGTGTGTGTGTGTGTGTATGTGTGCTTGGTGTGTGTGTACATGTGTACATGCATGCATATGTGCATGCATGTGTGTGCGTGTGCATGTGTGCTTGGTGTGTGTGTACATGTGTACATGCATGCATATGTGCATGCATGTGTGTGTGCATGCGTGTGTGTGTGTGTGTGTGTGTGTGTGTGTGTGTGTGTGTATGCACAGTGAGCATGTGGTTGTCAGAGAACAACTTGTAGGAGCCTGTTTTCTCTTCCACCATGGAAGACTGAACTTAGGTCATCAGGCTTAGCGGCAGGAGCCTTCATACACTGACCTCCAATGTTTTGGTGGGAGTGGAGCAGCGTGGCTTGACTTGGCTTTGATGTAACTATGAATGGGGCTGCTCTCCTGATTTCTTCCTCAAGATATTTGTTATCAGTTGGTAGGAAAGCTTCTGATTTTCGTGGGTTAATTTTGTATGCTGCCATTTTGCTGGAAGTGTTTATCAGATGCTGGTAGTTCTGGGATCTCTTACGTATAGAATCATCATCTGCAATCAGAGACCCCGACTCTGCCTTCTCTGTTTGAACCTTTCTGCTTCTCTTATCTTACGGCTCCAGCTGAGATGTCCAACAGCACATCGGGTAAGAGCAGAGGACGTGATTTTAGTGGGAATCCTTTCCATCTTTCCCAGTTAGTACAGTCGGCTGTAGGGGTTTCACAGGAAGTCTTGGATACGCCAACACGGGTCCTTCTATTCTTGTCTTTCCGGGCCTTTCATGACGGAGGGGTTGGAGGGTCACATGACTTCTGTCCATGAGTCCATGCTGAACCACCCTTCACCACCAGGGTCATGAAGCCCGCTAGACCACAGTGGGTGAACTTCTGGCCGTGTTCTTAGGTTTGGGTTGCAGATCTCAGGGAGAACTGTTTTGCATCTATGTTCATCGGGGCAGCTGCTCTTTGTCTCTCTTGTATGTGTATCTGGGTGACCCTGGCTTCCTAAAGTCATTGGTGCCCTCTGCTCCCCTGGTGTGTGAAGGTTTGACAGGCTGACCCTTCTCCAAAGGACTGATGGGATTCATCAGGAAATCCTTTGGACCTGGACGTTTTTAGCTGGGAGATTTTTATTATTGCTTCAATCTCATTGTTTGTTGTAGATACACTAAAATTATTTATCTAAGGGAAATGGTGTGATTATATTTTAATTTTTAAAATATCTTTAATTTTTTAAACTACTTGCATGTCTGTTCCTTCATGTGAAAAACATTTTTTTTTAATTTAAATAAAGAAAAGGTATTTTTTTCTCAGTTTCTCAAAGAATTGACACATCTAACTAGACGGTCTGCAGGCATGTATGTGTAAATATGGCTTGTGATGGGGCCACTAGCAGATCTGCAATTTAGTCTAAAACTAGAAAGGAAAGCATTTGCACTAATTTCTTTGAATGATAAATACACGTGCACAGCACTTCCCTTATGAAGACCAGAGTCAAGTCAGAGGGTCTGAGCACCGTGTTCTTCAGCCTCAGTTTGTAATGTTTACCACAGTAATTGGTTATCTGTGTTTACTAGTGTATGAAGTTCAATGAAAGATAATTTTCGTTGTCAAAAAATAAATTGTTTAATTTTCATTTAATTTGGTAGCAACTAGAAATTCATTTATTTCTTTTAGATTCTCCAATTTAGTGGAATGCAAGTTTCTAAAGGTATTTCCTAATAATTTTCTGTATTTCATTAGCATTTATTGTTATGGCTCCCTTTTCCTCTCTGTTTTACTGTTTGGGGCCCCTCTTTATTTGGTTTGACCCTACAGGTTTTCCAATCTTATTTATCTTTTCAAAGAAGGAACTCTTTGATACTTTATCTTGTTTTATTCGTTTTTATCTCACTAATTTCCATTCTGATCATAATTATTTCTTCCATGTGCTAATTTTAGGTTCGGTTTCTTATTTTTCCAGTGCCCTGACATGTGACAATGAGTGTCCTGTTTGGAACCAAATTTCTCCTATTTTAAAAGGTTTTGCATGTGTGTGGGTTCACAGCCACAGAAGTTGGGGGGGTCAAAGGGGATCCTTCTGGAGTGGCTCTCCCCTTCCACTGTTCTGTGCATCCCAGGGACTGAACTCAGGTTCCAGGCTCATGGATCAAGTACCTTTCCCTGGCAAGCTCTCTCCCGAGCCCCTCCAATTCTGTAACATAGGCATTTATGCTATAACTTTCCCTCTTAGGACTTTTTCATTTATTCCATAGGTTTGGTGTGTTGTTTTCATTTTCATTAGACTCTAGGAATGCTCTTATCTTCTCCTTGATGTCTTCAAGGATGCATTTGATAGTTCAATAGTAGGCTCTTTGATCTCTGTGAGTTTCTCTTCCTGTTGCTTTGTAGTTTCATTTTCCATTGTGATCAGATAAAATACAGGCAATTATTTCAATTTTCCTATATTTATTAAGACTTGGTTCCTTATAATAGAAATCTATGTCTATATTCCCAGAATATTTTGGTATTTACCATTAAATTGTTTAAATCCTTCATTACTTTTTTTTAAAAAATTCTTGAAGATTATCTGGTAAGAACTCCAAGTGTTGTGAGATGGATCAGAGGTTAAGAGCTCTTGCAGAGGACCCAAGTTCATTTCCCAGCACCCACATCAGGTGCCTGTCACTCCAGATCCAGGGGATCTGACACTCCCTTCTGGCCTCCATGGGTATCAACATACATATACGCATACACACAGAGAAAGATACACATAAATAAATAACAATTTTTTTTAAATCCAAATAGTGTGGCTGAAGAACATTCCAGTCTGCATTTTGTGGTATGTCCTTCCTCTCCTCCCTGTTTCTTGACAGTAGGTAGCTGATTCCAAAAACAGGAACATACTCGGGTTTTTCCCGGGCAAGGCTGCAGGTGCCTTCTTTTCTAGCAGGCACATGGGGTCTGCCGGTTTCTTGTAGATGCTCAATGCCCAGATTTATTGCTTCTCCAGAGTTGAAGTGGGTGATATGCTGTCTTTTCTTTCTAATGTATCAACTGAAACACTTTATAGAAATATCATGAATGGTGTACACCTGAAATCCCAACACTTGGGAGGCTGAGGCAGAAGGACCATGAGTTTGGAGCCAACCTAGGCTACAGAGCATGAGCTTGTCTCAAAACAAAGTGTTAGGAAGTGTAGTGTGAGTGGTCACACCGCAGATGACGGCTTAAGGTTAGAGATCATGTCAGAAATATCAGTAAAGCCTGACTCTTTCCTGTAACTTCCGGTTCAGGAGGAAGACTTAGTCCCTTACCTCCTTGGCCTCACCTCAGTCTTTGAGGATTTTCTACCCATAGACTTATTATCCCTGCACCTCACATTGCCTCATCTTCAGCCAGCAGAAGGTCCCCAAATTATCTCCTGCTTTCTTTTGCCATGAGCACAATAAACTCTGACCACTTCCTTACAGGGAAGATGACAAGATCCAGCATATTCCTGGATCAGCTCCTCCTCCCCACTCCAGTTTCAGTGGCATGTCACAGGCACCGAAAATGTGCAACAGCTGAGCTGGTCGATGCTCTAGTCACTGGTGGAGAAGATAAAACACCCCTGCTGTTTATTCTGACATTTCCAAAGCAAACACAGAACCACAGACTTTGATTTCAATGGTGTCTACATATCTCTATCTCCCTTCTCCACCAGCATCCTCATTTTTGGTAGCACAGGATGGTCCCAGCATGCAGGATGCTGAAGCAAAGCATCCTCATTTTCGGTAGCACAGGATGGTCCCAGCATGCAGGATGCTGAAGCAAAAGGAACACAAGCTCAAGTCTGCCTGGGCTACACATAAGAGCATGCTATAAACACAGATAAAGACCACAAACAACACGAAAGATGGAAGAAAATAAAATGTAAGCTCTCCTGGGTGGAAGATGTAAGCTGACGGTCAAGTGCTTGCCCACTGTGTGTGAGCACACCCTCGGACCTGAAAAAAATAATAGAAGAGAAAAATTCCACAGTTACCCATGTGCTTTATCACAAATTTCACAGTGTCTCAGAAGAACACTACTGTGTATATCACGATTAAGGCAATTGTTAAACATGGGTCCACATGGTAAGACCCTGTTGCTAAAACAACAGACACTTTCTTTCAGCAGAGAGATGACCACAGAGAAGGCACAGGATATAAAGAAATCATCTCAAACCAACCAGGAAATGCCGTCCCTGCTGGCTAGCTCTCAGAGGGCCAGCACATGCCGCAGGCACTTATGGGTAATTACACACTAACTGGACAAGTGGGTCGTCAAAAAAATGTTAAAGATATTAAATTTTGGTAGAGGCATGTTGGGAGGGATATGGAGGAAAATGGAGGGGAAGAAGAAGATGTATATGATCATATTTTATTGTATATATGTATGAAATTCTCAAAAAAAATAAAGACAATTTTAAAATAAAAAACACAGTTTTGCCAGGCAGTGGTGGCGCACGCCTTTAATCCCAGCACTGGGGAGGCAGAGGTAAGAGGACTCCTGTGAGTTTGAGGCCAGCCTGGTCTACAGAGTGAGTTCCAGGACAGCCACGGCTACACAGAGAACCCCTGTCTCAAAAAACAAAGTTTTAAAACTTCTTGTAATGGCTCGTCTCATTGTCCATCTTTCAGTCATGCTATAGAGGCTTAGGATCAAAGAACAAATTCATTATGTGCTATGCTTTTTCCTGTAAAATGACAATCAGCATTAATTCTACAAACAACTATACCTGCCATGTTCATCACCAAAAGCACCAAAGTGATGCTTCTTCAGCCCTTTGGGCTGGTTGAGACTTTTTCCTACGTGAATCCCTGAGGAAGGGCAGGCACTTATGGGTAATTACATAACTGGGATTAAAGTTCACGCCGTGAGTCTGAACATCAGTGAGTTTGTGCCTTTTATAAAGCCGGAGTCCCTTCTGCCCACCTGGCCTTCCTGGTTCGCATTTTCTTTCCTGAGGGAAGTTGAGCATGTCACGTCACGCTCTTTGGACGGAGAGTATGGCCACAGAGAAGTGTGATGGCGATTTGCTTCTTCATTAGCTGGACTTCCCAGAATCCTGGAAGCCCAAACATTTCACCCCAGTGTCCTAGGGTTTGCTGGGTTGAGTTCATATTCTTGGGTGTAAATGTGCACTCTTTCAACATACAGATTTTGGGGTGATTTTTCTTGGGTTTCAATTTTTAGCATTCTGATCCTGGATATCCTTATCCAGGATCTTTTTCTCAACACAAGTACTCAGCATTTTCCATCACTTCCATTTTTAATGAGTTTTTTTAATTTCTCAAATTAATTCAAGCTATCATCTGTTGTATTGAACTGTTTGCCTTTGGTTTTGAAACAGTTTTATTTGATTTCTCATTGTTTGCTGAGTTTTGTCACTGTATTTCTGTTTCCTCTGCACGTACAATGTTTTCCTTAACGCTGCGTTGCTCTAGGGGATGTTCTCGTGTTTATCTGATTTTGTAGACTTATCTTTACCGCGGGGTTTCATTACCTCTGTGATCAGATTCCTTGTTCTGCTTTCTTATGCTAATGTGGGCTATTTTACCTCAGTCCTTTACTATTGCACTTTATCCTAAATTCATTTCCTAACCTTTAAGAACATATGCTTCTAACTCCACTGAGCTCTGGTCCTCAAATGCAGCCACTTCATTTGGGGGGCTATTTCAACTCTATTTCCTTCTGTTTTATCTGAACCCTGTCTTTTTTTTTAATCTGTATGTCTCCAGCTTACTAAATCTTACTCCCATTCTCCTATGTGCACAGTCCTTTGGAGGGAGCCCTACCTGGTCAGTTCTTCAAGCCCCTTGGTTCTGGATTGTTCCAGCCCCTCTGGAGAGACTGAACTTTCTGAACTCACTATTGGCATGGGCGACACACTTGCTTCGGCAGCGAGCCTCACCTCAGCCCAGCACACCCTTCCCTCCTGTTCCTCTGCTTCCTCCCCACAGGGGCCGACACTGGCTTCATTGGAAATGCTGCTCACGAGTCTTGGATGTGAGATCTACTTTCTCTGTTTACAAATGAGAGAGAATTCTAGGAGATCACATCACCACTGCTGCTTCGGCCACTGTCTGATGCCACTGCCAAAGTCAAAGGTCTTCTGAATTGTTTCTGTAGAAAACTCCTTGCAGCCAGATGCCTGGGAAATAGTTTAACATTTTCAGAAATAAAGCAGGCAAAGTAGAACTAAAGCATCTGTGTGCTCACCTCAAAGAGTCTGAAGAGTCTGTACATTATGCTGTAATCAGTTCCCAAGACCATGAAGGCCGCGTTGGAGGTGATGGTGCTGATCATGATGACCTGGAAAATGGGGCTCTTTACAACCTTCCTAAAGAACGCCTGGCATTCAACATCCTTCCTCCTGTCAAAGGGCGAATGAGAGGCACGGTTACCAAGGAACAACTGTCCCCCAGGGGTTGCTCCCCCCACACTGTGAAGAGAACTGTACAGGGGCCTGGAAAGAGCTAGATGAGTGGCCCCTGAGACATGGGTGGTGGTCAGAACAGCCTGTCCCACCATCTCCCTGGACTCCTGAGAAAGAGCAATCACCACTTCTCAGACCGAGGGAACACCATCTCCACTTACTTATTTAACAAATCGTCCCCATGTGACCACTGTCAGTAAACAGCAGGGAAACAGGGGACATATCTCAGGAAAAATTGGTAATGGATTAGCGTACACACACACACACACACACACACACACACACACACACACACACA